TATTCTTTTGATTCAGGTACTTTTTAATGAATCAAGATTTGTACTACTATGTGACCTCAAAATGTTTATTTATCTATGCTGATTTCCTTGTTGATATCGGTACGTCTCCAACGTTAATGCCGGTACGCATACAACGACAGATCTTTATTCACTCGACACGACGACTAATCACAATCGACCCATATAGAAATTTCATCGAAAGCGAATAACGTACAGTTCGGGCGTAACGCTATTTTCGTTGCATTTTCACAGATTTACACCCTAGTCGTGCCTAAAGAAGTTTTACATTTAAAAATGAATGTGTGTACGTATGTGTGTGTGCAGGTATACGTAGATACATTTTTCTCGTTCACAATTTTGAGAGCACGGTTCAACCGATTTGAATGAATCAAAAAACATTTGATTCTTATTGATTTATATTGTGGTATTGCTGCAATGAAAATTGATTTTTTGTTATCATAAATTTTATAATTTTTTTTCTGCCTCTGGTTTTAATTTTCATGTCTGTCATTAAATTCAAACTTACCCAACTTTTATATTCTTCTTATATTATTTACATAAAGTAATTCTCTCAAACTTTATCCAATATTTATATTATATATAGTTTTTTTTTCATTTGAAGCACGATCAGAACTAAAGAGCCCTTTAAACTGTTGCGATAATTTGACTTAACTTACTACATCGGTTATATAAATAGCAACCCAAATGGTTGTGTTATCTCTGTGATAAACTATTATTACAATTTTTATAACATTTACGAATATTTTATTGATGCAACAATCCGGACAAAGACTATTTTCACTTGGAAATATATTGATGTTTATGTCGAATTGAAAACAGATGTCACTACTGCTTGAAATCAAGCTGCCCAACTAAGGTATCGATACCCTGATCACGAGTATAACTTAATTTTTTTTCCTCTGATTTAAATTATATCTATTTGTAACAATTTTGTTAGCTCTCACACACTCAACAAAGTCGCAGAATGCTAAAAAAAGATAAGATTTTTTGTCGTCTGTTCATTCAGAAAAGGGCAGCTTCAGCTTCTCCCATCTCGAGTCGCACCGCATTATCGTAATTAATTTATATCTTTTGTTTGTCCCTTACAATTCTGACCTTCAACCGATAAAATTTATAGCTCAATTTATATTAAACTTATTTAGAATATATTGTCCTTCTTGTACATAATGTTTTTGCAAATTGAAAAATATGTTTGCTGTTTGCATCGGAAAGCGGCTATAAAATAAATTGTGTGTAAATGGTATTTTGCCTTAAGGAAAGTTGCATGAAGTTCAGAGTTGATCAAAGTCCATCAGCGATAAATGAATTTTTAAACGATTAATTGAATTTTTGAAATTGGTATATGATATTATGAATATATTTGATGAAAAATATGTAAATTTCCATTTTGATTTATTTACATATTATTACATTGAATCCTAATAGTAGTTAAAACTTATGGAATATTTTCAACGTATTTAACATTTCAAATTATTATCATAATAGAATACCAAGAAATTACTCAAGTGATTTTACAAATAGTTAATTAGCACTATTTCAAACTAATATATTTCCTATGTAGGAATTGAGTGAGCCTGAGTGAATTGAAAAAAAAAACATTTTTCATATATTTTCTATTGATGACCTACGATATTCATAATGAAGATACCAATTGAACATGAACCAAAAATTTAAAAAATGGTCATAATATTTTTTAAATATACATGAAAATATCCTTTTTTATATATTTTATTATTTCCATGCCTCTTTTAAATTGTTTTAAAATAAATCCATCTTTTTCATCCCATTTATCCTTTTTAGCATTCTGTGAACAATGTGTGAGAGCTTGCGAAAATTTTTGCAAATATATTTCAAGAGTAAAAAAAAATATCTAAAGGTATATTTTAAATATGGCTCTCTTGTAGATTAGTGATTAGAACTATGAAATTTTAGTCAGAAATTTCAGGTTCGATTTCTTATTCCGTCAGCCTGATGTCAAGCAGCCGCAGATATAGCTAGCATTATGTTTTCAAGCAAAATTAGCAATAAATTCTTTAGTTCTTTATTTTGTCCATACAAGTAGAATGTTTTTTGAATGATTAAAATCTGACTCTCCGTTCTCTTAAAAACTGAATTATCATTTTTGGCACTATTCGCGTCTTCGAAACGACTGGACCTGTCTTGAATCAAAGCTAATCAGCACGTCTCCTTATCAATACGAATCAAATGTTTTTTGAATAATTCAAATCGGTTGAACGATGTTCCCAAAATCGTCTACAATAATTTGTATCCGAACACACACACACACACACACATACATACATAAATTTTTCAATTTCGATTTTTTTGCGATTACTATAACTTACCTTACTGGAAGGTTATAAGGTAATTCTTCAAAATAAAATTTAATTAAATTTAGAGAAGACTTCTCTTTCGCCCAAGAAAATTAATCGTTATATTTATTTCATTTTTTTTAAAGTGAGTTGGATCAGCGAATTATAAATGATCATATGATTGTGACACATTTTTGCAGAAAATAGAATGAAACCGTATTCCGAACTATTTTCATTTTTTGTATCTCATTGAATTTGTCCACACAATACAATAAGTAGGCACTCGACATTTTCCGCGTTGTCAGGTACATTGATATAGGTGTGATATACTTGCTGTCGATATGTTTACGATGTAGTTTATCTGAAATTGAATCGATGAGGTTGGGTATTTAGATTACAATACCGCACAAGCACCTCTGTTATATTCCACAAGAATTCCAGGATTCCACAAGTGGGTGGTCTCACCGTGTTCTGTGCGAAATTCGGATCCGATCTGTCCCAAATATTTGCATATCGAACTTGGTAGGAAGACTATTATGGACTTTATCACTTGCCATGAGATTAGGATAGGTGATTAAAATAACTTGTATCAAATGTTTTTGGGGTAGAATCTCAGGGCTGTTTCGTGACTTTGATAGCTTTGGTCTTGCAACCCCACTGCATTTTTTTTGCTTATGGACATACTTTAGTTGCATTTTGAAAATAATGATTTTGACATGTTTTTGACCAGCTTTGAATTCAACATATATCACAGGATTCAAACAAAAATTTTAAGCACGTTTATATGTCTACATCTGTCAAACTGAAATATATAATTTTATTTGCTGAATTATTTTAATTTCTTGCACATCCCAGATAATTTTCGGCAATAATATCGTCACATTAAATTTTTCTAACTTATGATCATAATATTGTCTAGGCTCATAATTTAACCTAAATTTAATATAGTTGACATTACTCAACCTTTTGGCATAAGGAAATTGAAACGACAATGGCCTTTAGATTTAGTCTTAGATTAGGTCTAATATAATATTATCATATTAATTGTTTAACTGAGATGATCTCATTGGAGTTCTTCTTAGGCATCGCTCTTAAATATTGTCATTTTAGCTCATAGGAATCTTTATGTATTTCTGATTGCTAAATAAAACAGAGTTAAAAAGAAAAATTCAAGTAAATTGACATTTATGGCAGATGGCAGTTCTCATTAGTCAGTGTTTTCAACGCCTAATAATGATACATTGTTTTTTTTGCAATTTTTTTCATTTATTTCTACAATATTTTTATAGTTTTAAAATCCATCGCATCTTAAAAATTTTCCTTAACAAATTTCAAAAAGATTTATCTTAATTCGAATAAACATGTAGGAGTAGTTTGAATTCATACATCCACACAAAAGATTTTTATATATAAAATGCATGTATATATATATATATATATATATATATATATATATATACATACATATATTCATGATATTAAATATTCGACATAGTTAATATTTTGTGGCATTCGATAAACCGCCGATCCTGAAAAGTTAATAGCTGAGCCAATAATAATCCAATATATCTCATTAATGTTTTGAACATCACATACGCTAATAAATACAATGAATATTATGCTGTATTATTTCAAATTTGAACATAGTTTAGTACGTAACTACAGATTATAATTTACAATAATCGTATATTATTTTATAGTGAAAATTGTTGCATTAATTAATAGATTTTTGATAAATATATCAAAGGCGCACAAAAATATTTGGAGCAAAATTAATTTCAAGATAAAAATGTTGTCAAATGATTCTTGCAAGATATGTAATTTGTTCTCTCTTTTATTAATAACTATCAGAATATTAATGAATTATATAATTTTGATATACATTATTTACATATAATTATACATAGTACAATAATTACTATTAGATGTAATTTATTACAAGAATCAAGTCATATGCAAATTAATGACGTTGAAGTGTTAAAATATAAATTTTGCCTAAAATATTCTAGATAACTTTTATTAAGGATGAAGTAGATTTTATTTTGTTTCATAATAATCACCTTGCTCTAAAAATACTTTTAATAAAATCAGATTTTATTCCATTATTATCAAGTCTATTTTCCAAGGTTTTAAAAGATATCACTTGAAAATAATCAAATTAATAGAAATAATAATAACAAGAAATAACTTCATAGAAACATTAAAATATTTTTTTTGACTAAAATATTGTATATGACTTTTATTAGACTTTCTTTAAATGTAAATCAATCATGTAGAGTTCAATCTGCTTCTTCACAATCTTTTTATTATGCAAATACTTGTCTTAATTTTTTTCATTATTTTCAAAGGGTTTGATGCTTTTGTAATTAAAATTTAATCATCATTTTAGTTTACGCTTGCTGCAGATTTTTAATTGTAACTATATCGAAAAATATGTTTCTTTAAAACGTATATTAAGTATTCCTGTTACTCGATATTTGATGAATTTGGTAAAACATACATTTTAAATATGGGGAATCAATTGATGAACGTTCTAGTGGAGCTGCTTGTTTAGAATATTTCACAAGTTTTTTTCAGAACTAGAAAATAAGAAAATTAAATCAAGTGATATATGTATATATTTTCTATAATTTAAATTCTTATCTTATTTCTTTTTTTTCATTTCAGCCGCGCAATTCAATACTTATGTTACGTTGAAGTTACAAAACGTAAAATCTACCACAGTTACAGTCAAAGGAGCTTCACCATGTTGGGAACAAGACTTCTTATTGTAAGTACATTATAATTAGTAGATACTAGTATTATATTATTATGAATATTTACAATATAATATCAAAATTAATTTCGTAACAAGTTCAGAAACGTAAAATAGTTGACAGTCATTTTATTTCCGAAATTTGATTGAACATCATTTCTTACGGAATGCAGATTCTCTTTTTTTTTGTTATAAATGTTAGAGCATCCACGTCAAGTATTGTGCTTTTATTTTTCGAAATGCGAAGAACATATAGAGAAACATGAAGAACAATGAAAATCAGTTGAAAAAAAAATTAAATGGAAGTACAGGATATGAGACGAGATAGTATATATGATACAGTGGCGTAACTATAGGGTGGCGTGCCACCTATAGCCCCGGCCCAAGGGGGCCCCGGCTCAAGAGGACGCGTGCTCAGAAATATTGTTTCTACATTATACTCTAATACTTTATTTCATTTGAAAAGTATGTTTTAAGAATCAGGGGCGTAACTACCGCCGTATCAGCCGTATCAAATATACGGGGCCCCCAAACCAGGGGGCCCCCAACGTCCGTAAGAAACATTAATAATATAAAAAAATCATGAAAAACGAATTAATCATGAAAACTTCGTTCAATCAAATTTAATGTCGTTAAAAAAGTACGCGAGGAATGTAAGATTATTATTTTAAAGAGTTTTATTTTGTCCATGCCACGGGGGCCCCAAATACGCGTAAAAAAAATACGCGAGGAATGTAAGATTATTATTTTAAAGAGTTTTATTTTGTCCGGGCCACGGGGCCCCCAAATACGCGTAAAAAAAGTACGCGAGGAATGTAAGATTATTATTTTAAAGAGTTTTATTTTGTCCAGGCCAAGGGGGCCCCAAATACGTGTAAAAAAAATACGCGATGAATGTACGATCATTATTTTGAAGAGTTTTATTTTGTCCAGGCCACGGGGCCCCCAAATACGCGTAAAAAAGTACGCGAGGAATGTAAGATTATTATTTTAAAGAGTTTTATTTTGTCCAGGCCACGGGGGCCCCAAATACGCGTAAAAAAAGTACGCGAGGAATGTAAGATTATTATTTTAAAGAGTTTTATTTTGTTCAAGCCACGGGGGCCCCAAATACGCGTAAAAAGTACGCGAGGAATGTAAGATTATTATTTTAAAGAGTTTTATTTTGTCCAGGCCACGGGGGCCCCAAATACGCGTAAAAAAAGTACGCGAGGAATGTAAGATTATTATTTTAAAGAGTTTTATTTTGTTCAAGCCACGGGGGCCCCAAATACGCGTAAAAAGTACGCGAGGAATGTAAGATTATTATTTTAAAGAGTTTTATTTTGTCCAGGCCACGGGGGCCCCAAATACGCGTAAAAAAAGTACGCGAGGAATGTAAGATTATTATTTTAAAGAGTTTTATTTTGTTCAAGCCACGGGGGCCCCAAATACGCGTAAAAAGTACGCGAGGAATGTAAGATTATTATTTTAAAGAGTTTTATTTTGTCCAGGCCACGGGGGCCCCAAATACGCGTAAAAAAAGTACGCGAGGAATGTAAGATTATTATTTTAAAGAGTTTTATTTTGTTCAGGCCACGGGGGCCCCAAATACGCGTAAAAAGTACGCGAGGAATGTAAGATTATTATTTTAAAGAGTTTTATTTTGTCCAGGCCACGGGGGCCCCAAATACGCGTAAAAATTAGTAAAATCTAACAAATTTTGGTTTGATTTCACTAATAACAAAAGTTAGAATAAACATGAAAATTTTCTTCTAAATAAATTTAATTTCGAAAAAAAAACATGAGCGTGTAAGAATGTAAAAATATAATTTTAGAGTGTTGTGATTTTTTTTTTATATTTTCTTTAATATTTATGAAGCTCTATAGCATGCAAATAATGACTAATAGAAAACTAACTTTTTATTAAGTCATTTCTTGAATAGATTATGCGAATTAAAAAATCAAAATAATTTAGTAGTTTGTTCAAAAATTAACAAAGGAATGGATTGCAAAGACTGTTTGTAAAAACAAAATATCAAACTTAACATGTAGCTTATGAAGCTAATTAAAAATTAAAAAAAAATGTTTGATTTTCAAAACAAAGCAGTAATTGTACTTTTAATTTATTGATTTTGACTTATAATTATTTTTATTTTTATGTTTTTTTGTACTTATACATTTTAATTTTTTTTTAAATTTTTGTATACATACATTTTAAATAATTTCCTAATTTCAAACCATAAAATATGAATAAGTCGAAGTAGATTTACTTATTTTCAATACAATTCATTACAAATCGTGGATATATATAACATTTAACACGTTGAAAAATTTCGAGTTTTTTTTAAATTAAATTAAAACCACTTGATTTTACTGATAGGGGGGCCCCATCAAAAAAATTTGCCACGGGCCCCGGATGGCCTAGTTACGCCACTGATATGATATATGTATAAGATATATATATATATATATGTATATGTAAGAATTGTATAGAATATGCTGAAAAATAATATGAATAATGTAGGTTGCTAAAAATGCTGTAAAGTAGAGGCCAATAGAAAAAAATTAAATGATAATACAAAGTTATCTAAAGAACCATTATCAAAGTCATCATCATCATTCAAAGTTAGTCATTACCTTGGCGGATATCAAAAGTACAAAAACGTTATATGAAATTAAGTTCAAAATAATTGACATCAAAATTTGGTTGCTATAGCATTCACGTCAGTCAAAAAAAAAATCTGCAGAATAAAAATGAATGCTATAGCGAGCATGTTATTAAAACTAGTTGAAAGAAGCATTTTGCCTTAAGGCAAGTTGGATGTATGATAATTAAATTAATCAACCGAAATTGATTACCGTAAATGACACACATACACGCACACAAACATATTTCTTCCAAATTTGGTCTCATTTGATTCAGAATGGCTTGAAACGTCGAGAAAACATAAAATTAGCGAATAGGATTTTTTGATGAAAACAAACTTCTGCTTCGGGAAGTTAATAATGCTATACCACAAAGAAAGCTGGTCGATGTGGTATAATTATATTATACTGATCGTAATTTATTTAAATCTACGCCCTTTATAGTGAAATGCAAATTGTAATTGCATAACACGACCCAATTTTCGATTTGTATAATAATGTATCTCTCAGCATCTGGGACACATAGTATCGTATTGTTCAAATCCGTGCCGAATATATAGCCTCACAGTCTCTATTAAACAGTACATAATGGTTTGTTGGTTATAATGTACCAACAACATGTATAACTATCGAATTATATATAACATGGATGCACTATATGGTATGTGGCTAAATTACACTGCAATTAGTGTTAAGCAATGTTGTAAATTTGATCCGAAAATAAATTAAGTGCTCACTTTAATACGGTTATTATTTTGCAATACGGCGATGTGGATTGAAATTTATGCCATGTGATAAAGTGATTTTCGGTATAGCTCAATATTTATTCAAATCATAAATTGAAGTAATGATTTTGATCATTGGATCACTAGATAAAATATTTAAACTGTAAATTTTTGGTGCGTGGCAAAATGCAAACTTTGCCTTAATGCAAACTGCAGATTTAAAAGATTCCCGTACTGTAATTTAAAATTAAAAAAAGTGAAAAGAAAATTAAGATTTTTTTTAAGTTTTAAATTTTCTTGAAAATCTTGAAAACATTTGAAAAATTTGCCTCGTTTAAAAACTACGGATTTTTTTGAAAAATTTGAACATGTTTAAAAATACTAAATTTTTTTGAAAAATGCTTGATTTTGTTTTTTTTGATGATTTGAAATTTCTTGAAAGATATGATGATACACGCTCATGTCGGTTGATCTATACTGTCTAAATATCTGGTTTTTGACCCCCAAATGGCATTTTTAAATATTTTTTTCTGGATTTCTAGAAGCGCTAGACCTGCCTTTGCAATAATTTAATCAATTATTAATCAGGTGAAATGCATTTTGAATAATTGAAATCCGATGCTCAAAATCGTTCTCTCAAAAACTTATTTGTCATTTTCTGGACTCTTTGCTCTGTGTCTCCGAAACAGTTTGACCTACCTATCCCAAAAACTAATCAGCACATCTCCCTCTCGAAAACGTTGGCGTAAAATTGTTTACATCTACATATTAACTTAAAATGCACACACACATCATTTTTTTCTAAGGTATGCCAAAATGTTCAGGAACAACTGAAACGTAAGGATGTGCAAAATTCTTGATTTTTAGTTTTTGGATGTGTTTATAACTTATCTTACGGGAAGTTAATTATAATCATTAATAACTAGATATAATTGGAATTTTGCTCTAGGAGAATTTACATGAAATTCTCGATATGAATAATCGACTTCATCAAAATTGATTTAGATTTAAATAAAATTCTTAACTATTTATTTCGAAAGTTAAGTTTTAGCTATTATTTTATTATTTGCAATCGAGATTTTGTTTCAAATTATATCAATTAAAAAGTAATTGGATATGGTACAACGGCGATATAGTGCTTTTGCAAACTCGCAAAACTAGTGAGTACTATATGAAAATTCGAAACTCAATATAGTGTTTTAATTAACAATGTTTTAATTAGGTCGATTGCTTTTAAATTGACTATTTTGTTGATAACTAAAATTATTGGGTATAGTGAGATGGGAAATATATATCTTCAACCTATTTTTTGTAAAAAGTTACCTTAAAGTTTTACAATTTTTTTTCAGATTTGCAAATCTATTTTAATATACATATTTTTTGCACATGAATATGCTAAAAATAATTGAAATAATATCATACAGAAACTCAGATTTTGCAGAAATGTGTTATAAAATGTCTACACCCCTATAAATACCAAATACATATTTTGCACATATGAGCGTAAAAACACAGCAATAATGTATTAAAATAAACAAATAAATTTTGAAGAATGTAACATTATCAAGACTAAATAATTAACATAATGAATTTATGAATTAGAGTTAAAGTTTAAATATAAAAATAATAAAATCATGGACTACTATATTCATTATTTCGAAC